TTCCAAATGGCCGCGGCCCTTGGGAGCTGCGCTGGCCCTTGGGGTCGGCCAAGGAGCAGCGGCCGCTGGGTCACTCGCGGTCCTCTGTGAAAGTACAGGATCTTTCTGGAAAGCGCCATCAGATAACGGGTACTCCTTGCGCTTGGTGATAAAATAGGGGAGGGAATGTGTTTGAGGGCGTTAAACGGACACAAACATTCTGTTCAGAGTTGTCGTGGGCTCGTGGGGGGGCCTCCAGTGCTTTCTATCACCTTCGTTTGACACGGAACTGTGCAGTGCCAAAGTCCTTGTGCTTATAAATCCTCTCCTTGAAGGGTACTGGGCCGGTGAAAGTCACTGGAAAGATCACTGGATTGGCCGATGGAGAGCACGGCTTCCACGTCCATGAGTTCGGTGACAACACTAATGGTAAGATGTTCCTCCGGCCTTTGGGTCATGGCTGGAAAGTGGCTGCTCAGCTCTCAGGAGCTGCTTGTGGTGTTGCAGCAGCAGCTCGGGTCTCACGTCTGTAAATCTGTGTGAGAAATCGTGACCTTTCCCGAGGAATTGTTTCTTGGATAATACTGTGAGCAAGTTGAGGCTGGCGGTCAAGACCTGACATACCAAGCAGTCACTTGAACGCTCGGATAACCCAGCGTTATGAAATAAGAAATCTGGTTGAGTCTGGGACTTGTAAGCGTGTAGCAGGTGATTTATCTCCAGGGGATTAGCAGGGCATGGCACGGGAGAGGAGCTGTTTGCTGTGGCTGGGAGCGGTGTGGGAGCAGCAGGTTTATCCTGGGATCCTGCTCTGATGCTGTGCTGTGTTCCAGGCTGCACCAGTGCTGGGCCTCACTTCAACCCAGAGCGGAAGCAGCACGGGGGTCCCAGCGATGCCGAGAGGTGAGTCCAAGGCATGGACACTGCTAGGGGCTCGGGAAGTGCCAGAAAAACCCTGGTAATTCCTGCAGGGCTCCCATGCCCACTTTGGTAACTCCAGCAGTTTGTTTCTGCTGTGTGAAATACTCTCCTGGGGGCATTTTCTGTTTTTGTCATGGCTTGGGAGGAGGGGACAGCAAGGGCTTGATGTTCATGCTGTGTATCTGTGCTTCAGTGGGATGTGAGACCTGGCTCTTCGCTGGGAGCAGCTCTCACAGCTCAGCTCCCTTGGGTGGGTGCCAGAGGAAGTGGTGTGGCTGTGTGTGCTGGCTTTAGGAAGCAGGGCTCAGGCAGTCTGGCCTTGCTTAGGGACCAGCCTGGCATCAGGATCGGCCTCGCAGGTGCTCATGTTGGTGTCTGTGAGTGCTCCTCATGTGGCTGATAAATCCCACCTGAGTCACAGGCCGGCAGAGCTGGATGCTGGATGTGGGCCAGCTCCTACATGACACAGCATGAAACGTGTGTCGAGGCCCTGGCAGCCACTGCTCAGGGCTAAAGGTTGGGATTGCACAGATATTGTGGCTTCTGGAGCCTCGGCAGATCCTGCTCCTGGTGTGGCTGTGGGCAGGGGAATTCCTTAGGAGGGGTGCGAGAACTGGATCCTGCTTTTATCAGTCTACAGAAACAATTGGATTGAAGCTTCCTGGAAAATTAAATGAAGTAAATTTTTCAAGGGAGAGATGCCATTAACCCAATTCTATAGGACTTGATTAAAAATAAGGAATCTGTGTAAAAAGCTGGTTGGTGGTCAGCCCTGGGCTGGCTGAGCTGGTCCCCCAGCAGGAATGTGTCAGTATTCCAGGTCCTGAATCTGGACAGAGGAGCCTGAGGGAACAGGATGGGCTGAATTTTGAGTGAATGCTGTGCTTGGGACAGGTGTGCAGGATACAGCACACCAGAATGTCCCGAAGTCCTGTGAAAATTCCACTGCTGGAGGCTCAGTTCTCCAGGGAAGCCTTAGCAGAGATGTAGCTCTGATAGAAGCTGTGTGGGAGAGCAGTATGCCAAGTGATGGGGCAATGCCAAACTGGAATGATCATCTCTGGTACTGGCTGGAACTGAGCAGTTCCTGCATTGCCTCTGACCTGCTGCCTGACAAACTGCTTTTCCTAATCCTCCTTAAAACCAAAAGCCTGCAGCTGCCTATGGAATAGCTTAGCTGTCATGGACAGCAGAATCTCTGAGAACGTAGCAGCGTTCCACCAAGTCTGCAGGAAAGGTTGCCCCACTGGATGTGGGAGCCTTTGTTATGTTGTAACATAAATTTCCAGCCTTCCCCTTGGAAGAGCTGTCAGTCCAGGCCCCTTTCTGAGTTTCCCGTGTTTCTGTGCAGGCACGTGGGAGACCTGGGCAATGTGACTGCCAAAGGAGGTGTGGCAGAGGTGGAGATGCAGGATTCCGTCATTTCCCTCTCCGGACCACACTGCATCATCGGCCGTACCATGGTGGTGAGTGCCCAGGGGCTTTGGGGATCTCCAGAGCACGGAAAGGGGATTTACAGCCATCCCTCTGTGTCTTAGAGTGGCACTTGACTGCCACGACCCTAATTCCCTGCCAGCCTTTGGGAGATGTCTCTCTCTAACTCTGCCCCTTCCTGCTATGGGTGCCTGAATCGCCCTGGAGGTGCTGGAGGCAGCTCCTCTCTTAGGTCCAGTTGGGAGTTTTTAGCAGGGCTGTCAGGTTGGTATTGTGCAACTAGTCTGGTGGTGATGCTGCTACCAGGAGCAGTGGTGACTGGATCCACAGTGGGATCAATTAAGGTCTCTTAAATTCTCTTGCAGGTGCACGAGAAGCGGGATGACCTAGGCAGAGGGGGAGACAACGAGAGCAAATTAACTGGAAACGCTGGGCCGCGCCTGGCCTGCGGGGTGATTGGGATTGCCAAGAGCTAAGTGTGGTACCTGCAGTGCTCTTCCATTGCTGCTCTTGCCATTCCTCATGCCAGCTCAAGATTTGTCGTTAATCTCCTGCTCCTCTGCGTCCCGAGCAGCACTCACACACTGGAGACTGACCGAGTTTTGTATGATGCACATTGAATTAAAGTGTCCCTGATGGAACTGCTCTGTGGTCTCTGCTCACGCTCCTGCTGTCACCATTCCGTATCACGTCCCTGCTCTGAGGGAAGATCTGAGTAGTGCTTCTGTCTCAGACCCCGGATGAGCCCCACGTGCTCTGACAAAGAGCAGCAGCCCCCGAGTGTGCCAGGACTTCCTCCTGGGGCAGGGGCAGCATTTGTAGGCTTCAAATTTGTGTAATAAATGTTCTGGGCAGATACACCTGGGTCCGGCTGTCTGTGAACAGGGAACCACCCCAAACCTGACCCTGCTGGGGAAAAAGAGCCCTGGGCTTCAGTACGTGGGTGGTTAAATTCCATCCAGCAACAGGTTCCAGGCAGGATCCCAGGAGTGACCACTGTGTGCCAGTGCCGGTCTCCCTTCTGTTCTGCTGTGTCCTTCTGAAACAGATTTCAGGGTCTCTCTAACAGAAAATGAGTCATTTAATGAGGACTGGTCTCAATGTTCCTTTCTTCTGTACTTCAGTATATTCATGGAAGTAGCAGGCTGTAGTTCTAGGTAACCCCATTTCCACTCAGGCACATTACTAAGGAACTGGGTAGTGGAGCAGGAATACTGTAAAAGTACTTTGAACTTACGTTCCCTGTTGCTGCTAGACCACTGTGACTCTTCACCTCCCTGTGCCTCTTCCAGAAGGTTGTTGCTGCTGCTGCTGTAAGGGTTATATGCAGGCACTGCTGCAGAAGGTGGTAAAGAGTTGTCCCACAGTTTTCCAGGCTCTGCTTTCAAAACCCTACTGAGGCAGAGAATAGGGATGGGATTTGTGTGAACAGAGCAGCCTTTTCTTGTCTCCAGCTCTTTAAGGAGGTGTTCTCAGTGAAACAAACCCTCCCTCCTTCCAGAGCTGAGGCAGCTTTTTCCAAGGCTCAAACCTCGATGTGTGGCACAAGGCAGCGTCCCACGGGCTCGGCAGGAAACCACCAGTGAGGACACGAGTTTTAACACATGGAAGTTGCCGTCACTACAATCTGTAAACAGGTTCTTTCTCTCTTTATTCTGCTATTGCAAGAACATAAAAATATATGTCCTCTCCCCAGTCCAGAGCTCCGCAGTGGCTCTCCCACCCTCTCCCCCCCCACCCAGAGACAATTCCCTCTGCTGCAGGGCAGCTGTGAAAAAGGACTGATGCAAGGAAGCAATTGCCCTTTTCTTGGGGCAAAATCCCTAACTTTAAAAGGTAGAACACACCTCTATCAAGGAGAAAAAAGCCACTGAATATGCACAGGATTCGTACAGGATTTGCCCCGGTGCTGCTGGGGTTAGGAGAGCACTGAGCCACGTAGGGTGGGCTGAACTTCCCAAAGTGTCCCTGCCCCAGGAATCAGCCACGGAGAATGCACCAACAGCCGGCACAGCAGACAACATACAGGTGCTCTGGAGAGGAGGTGGCCCAACAACACCCAGGAACACCAAGAGCTGCCATCTGTCCCCAGCCCATGGGGTTACAACCTACCTCTGGCAGGGTGAGGAGGGGCAGGCGCTCCTGCAGGAGCAGCCCCATCTCCATGGAGTAAGGGACAAATCCTTGTCCAGCCCCACCCCGAGAGCCAGGCTGGAATTCTGGTGCCTCCGAAGTCTCACACGCTTTGGAACATCAGAGCAGACAGTCCGTGCCTGAAGGTGTCACCACTTAAAAAAAGGCAAATTAAGGGTGACAGGAACCACAGAACTAACTGAGGGTGGAGGGAAAAAAAAATAAAGCAAAGAATGGATTGCATTGCAAACACTAGAACAGTTAACTATGCAATTAACATCTTGAAACTAACTTTTACCTCGAGGTGGTCAAGTAGCTCATTAAAATGCAGCAATCTAAAACTCCAGAGGACTGTTACAAATAAAAATTTCCTTCTGTGAAACGCTACACAAACAGATGGATTTCCTTTAACAAACAGAACCAAACCAGTCTAATTTAGACTCCAGTACAGCTTTTAACAGTTCCAACTTTAGGCTGCTGAACACTCCTTTTCCAGTTCAGTGCAGCGTAGGAAGAATAGCACACGTTAAAAGTTTGTTACGAAAATAGAGTTTATTAAAAACACATCCCTATTGTTTTGAGGAGCTTTCACCGTTACCTTTTCTTAAATTAAAAAAAAAATAGAAAGCACTTCTACTTCTGATTCGTAAACTTTTTAAAGTCAAAACTTTAAAAAAGTTACAGCAAAAATGGGTAATATTTTAATCATCTCTTCAGTATTTTATGTTATGTTGTGGCTATTTTAAATAGAAGGGAAGCAATCAAATTGCTCACAGTGCCCCGCGTCGGGGGCGCAGGGGCGGAAGGAAGCGGATTTACAGCACTGTACAACTCGAGCTCCACGCTCCAAGCCGGGCTGCGGCTCTAGCGCGGCGCCTCGGCCGCCGAGCCCGTGTCCTTGTCCGCCTGTTCCAGGGATGAGGTAGCCTCGGGCTCTGACTCTGGCGCGGGTTTCGCACCCGCGAGTTCAGCGTCTCCCGCAGCCAGTTCTGAAACGAGTTCCACGCCCTCCGCTTTGCTGCCGTGGGGCTCGTGGTTTTTGTCGCCCTCCGCCCTGTCTGTCACCTCCGGCTTTTCCTTGCCGCGCGTTTCTTCCTTGTCTCTACGAGACTCCCGATCCCTGGAATCCCTCTCCCTGTCTCGGTGGCCGCTGGAGCGCCTGTTCCTGTCCTCCGAGTCCCTGTGCCTGTCGCGCTCGGGGCTGCGGCGTCCCCAGTCTCGCCTGTCGCGGCCACCCGGCCGCTCGTGCTCCCGCTCGTCACGGCCGCCGTAGCGTTCCCGGTCGTTCTCCGCCCGGTTCCCAAAGGATCTCCTCCCGAATCGCTCCTGGTCTCTGTTGGGCGTGTACTGCCTGTCGTTCCTGAACTGCCGGCCGTCCCTGTTCTCCTCGGGGCCGCCGCCGGGCCCGCCGCCGCCCGGGCCGCCCCCGGGCCGCACGAAGTGGCCGGGCGGAGGGAAGGGAGTTTTCATTCCGTGCGGGGGAGGCATCCCGAAGCCGCCGGGGCCCGGCGGGGGCCCTCTGTGCATCATGTGCGGGGGCATGTGGCGCGGGGGCATCATGGGGAAGCGCGGCAGCGGTGGCGGCGGCATCCCCGGCGGGCGCTGCAGCGGGATCAGCCCGGGCCGGGCGCCCAGCAGCCCCGTGGACGGAGTCTGCAGCCCCACCACGGGCGCGGGCGGCGGCGGGGCCACGCCCTGGGTGCCTGCAAGAACACACAAGGGACAGTCAGAGGCAGGCAAGAGAGAATACAGAGCGTTTCCACAACTTTTATCCCAGGAAAAGAGCACCTCAGAACCTGGAGGGGAGCTTCCTGGGATCTCCATTGCTGCCAACACCCCGCTGTGTGCTGCTGGCAGCAATGACCGTGCCCAGGGCAGCAACTAACCCCTGATCCCACAGGCTTCTTTTGGGGAGAGCCTTTGCCCTTGTGCAGCTCAGCCTCCTGCTTCCTCCACCGACTGCAGCCAAAGGCCCTTCCTGCTGGTGTGCTTCCAGGGAAAGATACCTCACCCCCTCCCGTTGGATTCAAACATTTCCCTCTGCTACAAACAGCAGCTGAACAGCTCAGAGCTGCACAGCATCAGCAAGAGGCTCATCCACACAGGCAGCAGAGATAAGCCTGGAATATAGCTGGAGCACAGCTCTGTTTGCCATTCCAGAGAAAAGAGACATAACAAAGATTCATTTCAGTAGAATAAAGCTTGCGATGTAAACAAAAAGAAAATGCAAGAGGTCATTCTTCTTTCTTTTATAATACTGTTTCATCCTTTATAGCACATATCCAGCATCAACTATTTTCCAGTTTTTTTCCTACACTCTTCATAGGAGGAAAAAAACTCCCTCTCCAAACAGTGTCAGCCTGAAGTTCCTAGACACCAATACAAAGAGCCAGAAGGAATTCTGTGCTCCAGCTGAGGCCATCCTACCCCAGGGCAGGTGCCTCCCCAGTCTGAACCAGGAACACTGTCCAGTGCTCACCCTGCTCCCATCTCCTCACCAGCACCTCCTGCCCTAGAAACACAGCCCCTGCCTGGATAAAACCAGAATGAAATACTGTGGGAATTCCTGTTGGATTTAGTGTCAGCAGAGGAAACTGCACTTTTCAGCAAAAGCTGCACGAGCAGCCACACCAGCTCCCCTTCAGCTGCCCTGGTGTTCCATCCGTTCCAGACAGACGTGAGCCTTCTGTGCTGCCCTCACCACACCACTGACTTTTAGGGACGTCTCTGACAGAAACCTTTTCACCTGAGTGCACTTTAAATTCGTACTGGAAGGAAATTGTTTTGCCAGTGAGAAGACTCACGTGACATCTTGCAGTCCATGATATTCTCTCCCCTTCCCCTACAAGCAGTCAGACACGGCTTTACAGGTCACACTCTTGGAGAGAAATGCTCCAGTACCAACAGCATTTTTTTTCTGCATTTTTCCCTTTCTCTAGAATGCAGAGCCTTTCCCCCTCCTGGTCAATAACCAGGCCTGGAATTATGCAGTTTAAACTCTTCTTGTGACAGAACTACAGATCTGACAACACAGACTCATAGCTAATGATGTCTCCCAGGAATTCTGAGGTTTGGGTATATTCTCGTTGGTAAAAACGTATTTTCATCTTCCCCAGAAGATTAAAACAAGGCAGAATAGAATAACTGAGAATTAAAGAGCTGAAGTTAAGCCTATGCTTCTACTTAGAAGCAGCAGAGTAGATGTGGGTTACCAGAGCATGAACATGAGGTGAGGGAGGGAGGTTTCACATTTAATAAGCTTAAGTAATTTAATTTCTCAGCCTTATTTCTACACAAACTGCAGCACTGAAGCAACATAATGGTACCTGGAACTCCTTCATTCTGAACTGCATCGGTTGGAGAGCTGCACACTTTTTATTTTAAATTCATTTTAAATATCAACCCCCTTCAATGCTGAGGCTAAAGGAACTGTAGAACTACGAGACTTTACTCACTCTGCTGACAAATCAGGCACCAACTACAAACCTAAAGAGCTGTCTAGAAACACATCCCAGTTTACTGAAAATGCTCAGGGACATTCATGGTACAGACACACACACACCATGTCTGGGGCAAGTTCAAGTTCTCTTTTGGTTTAGGAAGTACTTGACATTCAAGTAGTTTCTTGAACTGGGTATGAACTCTCTGAGCTCTGAGAGAAACCCCGAGGTGAGTTCCTGACCCAGCTTGTCCTGCTGGAGCCAGTTCCCTCACACCTGACACCTGCTCCTCTGTCCCAATGTGCAAAACCACACCTTGCCTTCACAAGATTTTATTGGTTTCGGAGAAGTAACCATTACACACCCAAAGCGTTCTAAGTTTCATCACTTGACTCCTACGACACAGCCCTAGTGCTCAGGCTGGCCTGAAGTATCTTCTGTCCAGAGAGGGCCTCGGAGCCATCCTCACTGCTTTGATAAATTAGCTATGAAGCCAGATTTCCATGCCACTGTGATCCAGATCTGATCATCGCTCCCAGATGGACAAAGCCTATGTTCCCTTAGGATAATTCCCATGTCACCAATGCTGACACACCTGATTTACTCTTACACAAACTCTGCTCACTAAGTGGTTCCAGTAACTCACAACCCCTTAAATCACTTCCCACCACGTGCAGCTCTGTGGTTTCCGTCTGTCCCGGCACACAAACCTCAAGGAAACACATGGAACAAGCCAAAAGCTCACAGATCCAGCACAACAGCAGCAGGTTTTCACTCCACTTTCAAGCTGCTGTTCTCCAGTGGGGAATGTGGCATCTTACAGCTAGAACATTAAATACTGCCAGGGAATTCTTGAGAGAAGGACCATGTTTTAAGTCTGGTGGGTTTCTGCTGGAGTTTGATACAGAATCTTTCAGAGCAAGTCAAGACTGCAAAGAAAAGAAGGCTGAACTAAAGGGCCTAAATATGAAGTCACAGCTGAAAAATCTTGCCAAACCCCCCCAACATTTTAGGACAGTCACACTGAGAAGCTTAGAGAATGCTGTATTTGTGTTTTATGATTTACTGCAGATTACAAAAATCATCTCAGAACAAGCCACCAGGGGAGCAAAGAGCAATAACTGAGCTCGCACTACCAGGAAGTGAATGGAAATTCGATGGGAATTCCAGAATAACTTAGCTTTGATTACATATTATGATCCTTGAAAGAATTTGGGTATAAAGAGCACTAGGTCAGGAGCTACAACTGCAATCTGAGTATTCTAAACACAGCATCTTCAGTTTATTACAGGCCCGACCTACACCATTTGCTCAGTGCTGGAAACACGTGGACCAATCTCAAAAGATTTAAAAGCTGTCATTTCCTGTAGCACGCACACGTCAAAGGAGCCTACAAATACCTGCTCTGCAGATCATTTCCAATTTCCTGAGCACACACTGAGCCATCACAGCCTGGACTGTCCTCTTCCCAATAACAACAAGGTGTAACAGCAGAGCATGAGGTCAAGGGCACAACTAAATCACAACAACCTGACAGTGGGCTTTAGAAAAAAGCTCAAAAAATCCAGACCCAAAGTCCAAGAGGCATCACTTCTCTGAAGCACAATCATGTCCTGGTTGGAAGGGATGAAGGAATTACAGTGGAGGCACAAAGGAAATCAGTGGAGTTGAGACAGATCTTATGGAAGGGTATGAAATGTTACAATGATCCCTTCAGAATTACTTTGTAACATGTCTTCCACAGAAAAACTGAACCTCGAGAGGGAGGCGGCATTTTTTGAAGTAACAGAAGTTATTAAAGAGCTCCTGTGTTTTGTAGTGACTACAGAAGCGTTCCCAAGCCCGAAGTTTGGATCTCTCCCACAGCCTCTTCCCAGCAATCTTCATCCCTTGAGTCCAGCCTGCTGCAGGAGCTCTCCTATCCTGCCCAAATACCCTGAGAACATTTCCTCATCCTTCCCAGGACACTCTAGCCTCTCACATGTACAGCTAGATTCAAGAGCTTGATGCAAGAGTGACTCCAAGTGCTTTTAAGAAGAATACAATTACTGCTAACTTAGTGAAAGGTTTTAAAAAGCCACGACAACTGATAGTAACCTTTTCTCTTTAATCACATAAAATATTATCATCTGTTTCCTCTGGTTTTCCTGTCTGTTTTATCAGAGTGAACAGCCCTGAAACTCCAGAATGTTCAGGATGGGTTTCACATAACTCTTTAATTATAAATAACTTCTTGAAATTAGACACTCCCCAACATCAAATGCTACTTCTTTTAGGCAAACATACAGGTCTCAGCCATTACTCCAGGATTGCTCTGTGAACTCTAAACCCTCCCCTCACTGACAGAAGTCACTCTGACCACGTAGAGAACTTTAGCTGCCTCAAGCACTCAGTGAATAAGTTAACAAAAGCAGAGGCAAGTTTCCAAAGTTTGATTTCCAGGTATCTCAAATTCAGCTTCCCTGGATTTTTAAGAATAAAAAGCAGCTGCTGTCCAAGGAACTGATCTGGGTGTCCAATTTAGCTCAGTCTTCATTTTGTAAAACCTTTTTGTCACGTGTGCAGAGATACAGCAAAGTGCAGAGAAGCCTCATACATTCCAAAGGCCTGGAATACAAAGTGCAGGTTATGCTGTCCAAAACACTGGAACTCCAAAATTCTGTGCTACCTTTACAGAAAGTGTCATTCAGCAGGAAGGTGTGAATTTCTGAAATTCCTAACAAAATTCCCTGGTGTCACCACAGAGTTTCTTAAGCTTGTCTCTATTTTGAAAGGGTCTTCTGTCAAGTTTTCAACATGAAGGATCCATGAATCGTTAAGTCATGGATGGAAAATTCAGCCCTCACATCCAATAGAACAGTGAGCTCTCAGGGAGACAAATCTCCGACTTTCCTCAGTGATCACTGAAAACACACTAACACAAAATCAGCTTTTTCACTCATTTCTTAGGCTCTCAGTAGGCTACAGATAGAGACTAAAATCCCATAAATGCAGTCATCTCGCTAAAATTTGTAGGTAACAAGTCTCTTGAATAAATTCTTGACACTGGCCCATCCAGACCATCATAAAATAAGCATTTAGCAGAGCTCTGTAACAGTTAACATTCCCTTTCAAAATCTGACCAAGTTTGTATCATATTAGGAAAAGTAATTTATGCAACATACTCCCATTATCTTGAGTTTACTAGCCAAAAACCATTTGGCAATATTTAAATAGTATCTTCTTAAAAGGTTCCAAAATCTGTCCTGCTGCAGGGTTGCATAGAAGCTTTTGGTTTTCTCTTCTACTAAAACAATTTATTCCATACATAACAAGAATTCACATCCTCAGAGATCTCAAAAATACACAAAAAATAGTTTCTCTGCAATTTTATATAGGTAATAGTTAGGTCTAAAACCTGGTTCCTATGCCACACAGATGTGTTGCTGTAAGTTCATTCCCTACACTGTATAAACCTTCACTTGTTAAAAGTGGACAGCATTTCAAGTTGTACCTTACACATTATGGCTTTGTTTCTTCAGAAAGCAGATCTTCCATAGCAAAAAATATTGACTGTTTCTTCTGTGCAAAATGAAGCCTCTAAAATTGATTTTAAAGCCAACGGTAGGACAGAAATCTCAACAAATCGAGAAAAATGTGCTTCCCTTGCCCTGGACTGGAAGTCAGTAGCCAAATCAAAATTATATTTTACACATAGGGAACCATGAAATGCAGAACTTACACAAGAGGAACTTACCAAGGAGTGGAACAGCCTGGGTGACAGGAGCAGGGACATTGGTAGGTGCTACAGGAGGTGGAACAGTGCCATACATTTTGGAAGCGTCAGTACTTTCAGCATTCCCTCTGCCTCCAGAAACTACTGTTGGGATGGGATTTCCTACAGACGACTCCTTGGAAGTGTCCTCATTCCCACCAGCTGCTGTAGCTGAGGAACAAGGCAAGAACACATTGAACACCAGCCAGCAATTCCTGCAGGATCCCTGCCTTCCACAAGGCCCAACACTTACAGTTTGGGATGTTCACTGCCGGAGTGTGCGGGACAGAGACCGGAGGAGTTATGGGAGGCGGTGGCCCGGGAGGAAGGAATCCTACAAGAAGCACAGGAGAGCCCTGAGTGTCCCCCTGGCACAACCCACCATGCAGCCCCTCAGCTCTGGGCCCAGCAGCCCCCAGGCTGGCACACCCCACCAACCTGGAGGTAAATGCAGCGGGTTGAAGCCGGGCCGGAGGAACGGAGGCGGTGGTGGCGGAGGCACCCCAGGGGCAAATCCAGGAGGGGGGATCCCTAAAGGTGCCGTGAAAGCAGGGGGCTGGAGTGCACCAACCACGGGAGGCCCTGATGGATGGGGGGGAACCTAGGAAAAAGGAGGGGGAAAGATGGGTTAGCCCAAGAGTGCTCCAATGATTCTCTGTCCCGCTGGGGGATCTCTGTCTTTGTCTAGCTCCACCAGGACATCTCAGCGACCTCCAATTCCTCTGCAACAATTGGGGACTTGCACAAAAGATCCACGAACACTCCAGGAACTCCCATCAATGGAAATACCAACACCAGTCTTGTTTGCCTTTGTAATTAAGAGAAAAATATTGCTCTGAGCTAAATGGGTACTAATGCATGTCGGTAACTCACCTTTACATACCCCTCACACAGTGCCTGAGATTCATTTCCACCCAGCATGGTGGATTTCCAGACAGTATCCACTGGAATGCTCGCAACTTCAGAGCAATTAAAAACCTCTGCTTGTCTCTTTCTCACTACCTGAGTTTGCACTGGTGTTTCCTTTTTCTTTATTTCTGATTTATATCAAGCTCTGAATTTAAATTAGCTCTGATTGAAGGGATTCTACTATTTTAACATTGACAAGAAACTACTGATATAAAAGTAGTGGAGTACCTGCCAATAAGAAAAGCTTTTAGAGGAACAATAACTAATAAAACATACAACAAAACAAAAAAAGGCAATTACAAAACCTGAAGATGCAATTCAGCCCTTCTATTACAAAGATTCTACTGCAGTGATTTCTCTGTGACTGAGAGAACAGTTACCATTCATAGCATTCCCTCCCTCCCTGAATTATTATTTAAAGTGAGTTTTTGTTTATTCCTGTGGAACAACTCTCACCTGTGGAGGAGGTACTGTTATTGGTGCAGGCATGGGAACAGGAATTGGGACAGGTAAAGCTTTGGGAATAGGTGACACTGGTTCATTGTGTGCAGCTTCTGCACCTCCATTCTGAGCCACTTCGTTCTCAGACTTCTTGGTAATTCCCTTCCATTCTGTCCAGAACAAAATCCCAACAGACACGGATCAGACAAGCAGCACCACGTGAAACATGCTTAGTCATGTTAACAAAAATGACCTAATTGAAAAATCTCAGGTAATAAGCAGCACAGAGCTAAGAAGCATTTAGACTATTTCTGACAACAAAAATTCCAAATTCATTTAAGCACAATAAACACTGAAACAGCAGATCAACTTGTTCCTTTCAGTAATCATTTAACAACCCTTTGCACTGACAGTGTTTATACACACTCAGGATTCTGTTACATTGTCTGTGACAAAAACTGTAAGGCTTTTTGGGACAAGCTTTCAACAGGTTTGTTCTATTGCTCTCTTATTCCATTGGCAAGAAGGCAGCAGCTTTGTCACTAATTTGAGAACTCATTTCTAAAACACCCAACGTCTTCAAGTCTCACACAAGGAAAAGGAGAATACAACTATACAGAATTGCAGCAAAATAAGAGAAATCTCAAATATAGCTTTAAACTTAATTTATGGAAGTAAGACCTCCTATTAGTCTGTCAGAAGTTCCTGTGAAAAGCCAGCTAAGCACAAAGAGGGATCAGTGAGGGGGCACTTCGGGAAAGAAAAAAGCACTGAGAGGACTGGAACACACTGACATTATGTTCATGATTCATTACGTTTTTTGTTTAAAACACACAACTGATGTCTGTGGGTTCAGCATGAAGAGATGCTACAATTACAGCACATATACATTAATCACCAGCTAATTGGGCAAACTGGACAGGATGGCCAAACCCTGAAACAAAGCGTTCAATAACAAAACATACACAGTAACACTGTACCTGGACTAAGGGTCTCGTTGTCCAGCATTCCTCCTTCACAGAAACTTTCCAGATCTTCAGGTTTGACTTTGTCCCATGGTATGTAAGTCACACCCAGTTCTACATCCCAATACTGCTTGTAGTCTGGCTTTATTCCTTTATTCAGAGCCCAGGCAATCTTGGGGGTGGGAAATACAAGTAGTCAGCAAAATGTTTCCATTTTAATGGATTTAATATTTCATTCTCACAAAACAGCATTTGAGGGTAAAAAGTAAAAAGCCTAAGTGAAACAGCTACAAAACTCTGAAGTAAGTTTTTTTTAAAGCAGACTCAGCTCCTATTCCTTGGCTTGACTCTTGTATATAATTTGTAAAAATTTATAAAGCTGCTTCTTCTGATGATCCCCAGCCACTAAGATTAATTCAATTTGCCTTTGGAGGACAGTGTCACACTAACTCGACATTCTACAGAAGGAAGAACTTCACTAATTAATGCATATTTGCTTATTTATTAGTACTCTTTGTAGGATTATCATATGTAATGAAACTCTGTTAGGAGACAAATAACTGGCTACAAGAAACACACAGTGCCAGTCCCCTGTAATGAGAAAAGGACACCATTTCTGTTGATTAAACAGCTAATTACTGGCAATCTTTCAAGGAAACTGATACAAGGTTCCACTAATCCCACTATGGACCAGGAACAAAAATTCTCAAAAACCAGTTCACTCATGTATTTTTCAGAATTGTACAGAATATCATCTCCCGAACACATGTAAGTCTGAAATACCCCAAAGCCCAGCACAGATGAGACAGGATGACAGTAATTACAGCAGCTTTGGAAAGCCTGACATTTTCCAGGCAGTACCTTGATGGATTTCTGGTTGACTTTGAAGTTGCCTCGGCTCAGTTTTTGGAGGGCTCTGTTGGCATCTTGTCTGTGCACCATGACAATATAGGCACATCCTCTGGGCGGTATCATCTGCATGGGGTTTAAGGAGAAAAAGTTCATTTTGCAGGTAACAAACAGTGAAATGCTCAGTTACAACAAGCTGGGACATCAGGGGGTGTTCCAAAAGCATCTATGGAAGTATGGAACGAAATGCTAGTTTAAGAGGCTAAGAAAGCCAGTATCTCCTGCAAATTCACATTTCTTGTCAACTAAAACTTCAACAACTTCTGAAAACTTCTAAAACTCTAAAATACAACTGGCTTTTGCATATTTAATTCTTTCAAATTGCTAAACAACAGTGTTCACGTAAATTCTAATGTCTGGCAATTATTTACTTCATTGAAAAGCACAACAGTATCCCCCTTTGCTCTTGCCAGCTGCACCTCCACATCGAGTTCTAGCTGCAGATTTGGACTAATTTTTATTTGTAATAAATTTGGGAAAAAAACTCTTATGCTCTTTTAGAATTGGGGAATCAGAAGAAAATTTCCTGATTTTTGTTTGTTAGAATGAACGAAATTTTTGAATTTAATGGAACAGCTATAATTTATATATAAAATATCCTTAAATACAGCAAAATAAAACAATAGCTCTCCATATTTATGGCTAAAATGACAAAAGAGCAGTAAGAACACCAGCTGAAGAGGCCACACTCCTAAAATCAAATAAAATGAAGCAGCCAAGGTACTCAGAAGCATGGGATGTACGTCTGCAGCCACCATCCTGCAGAGAAAGCAGGATTTTTATGAAAATGAGATAATCTTCTGTATTACTCTATGAGCATTTTTAGACTGCAGGAAACCAAAGCAGTATAAAAATGTCAAAAAGCATAGAACTCCCTTCTTGATTGTGTACAAGTCAGGCACATGAATTGAGCGTTCACACTGAAAACAAGACATAAAGGAAATGAGAGGCCAGCTCTTCGAAATCTATCAGAAAGAACTCTGCCACAGAGCAGCCTGGAGAGATGTTCTGCACCCAAGCATATCAAAGTGGTTTACACTGCATCCCTTTTACTCACATTGATCGACTCAATGGGGCCAAACTCCTCCAAGAGACTTCCCACATCCTGCTGAGTTGTCCTTTTGTCGAGCTGTCCTACCCAGAGTGTGGTACTGCAAACTACAACCGAGAGTTAGCACAGGTGGTCAGAGCCATTGCTGTCACGAGCTCCTCATAGGACAGATAACCAACACTTATCCCATTGAATCCCACTTATAGCCACTGAATCCAGGGTAATAACCAGGAAAGGAGCTTAAGGCATCTCCAGACTGCAGATTACTGCAGCAACATTGAATACTCATCCGGGTTTTTCACCTGAGAGATAAAGAACTGCAAACTTTGACAGCCAGCATGACAGAACCTGGGAAATGGTGTCGGCAGTAGCACATCTCAAAGCACGGCCAGGGAGCTTCCACTGAACAGCTACCAGGGCTCTGCAGGCCTTTACACCCCTGGGACTGTCACTTATGGCTCTTAAAACACCTCAGGTTTTTTGTCTCTCATGTAACAAAGAATGGTTTTATTCTACTTGATACTCTGGGGTCAGAGAAGATTCCACACTGCCAAGGAATATTCAGAAGACGACTACTACGTTTGGTCTATAAACACTGGCAAAGCCAAGATTTTATCAGAAATCCAAACATTAGCCTGTGTGTTTTCCAGGTCAAAGCTCCCCTTCAGGTTGGAGAGATACATAAGACTGAGTACTCAGAAAAATTGTAATAATTTACAATGAACTCAATTTCCTTTTGTTCAGTCTGCTTTACCTTATATGTCTCAAAGGAAGGAAAAGAAAAATATGGGCTTTCAGCTTTTCCTTTTCTCATTTTACAGCCAAAATATTTCTAATTTGGAGATACGCCAGAAATGCTAAACTGTCTACTATGAGTAAAGCACGTACAGGGAAGTGTGGTGAAATTCCTACCAGGAATCACAAGGCAGTTAATTTTTGTTCTGTCTGGATGAGCCTGGAAAACCACAAGCAGCAGCACGAAACCCAAGGAACACAAAAACTTTGGAGGAATCGCCCACAAAACGGCATTGCTGGCAGGCACAGAGTTACAGAACCAAGCAGGAGGAGAGCAGACTCACCACTGACGGTCTCTGCCTTGATCTGGGGCAGGCCCTTGGAGCGGCGCTCCCTGTCCCGCTCACGCTCACGCCGCTCCTGGGAGCGGGACTTGGGCGAGTGCCGGCGCCGGTCCCGGGAGCGCGAGCGGGAGCGGCGGTGCCGCGAGCGCCGGGAGCGCGAACCCGACCGCGAGCGTCTCCTCTTGGGGGACCTGTTGGAACCAGAGCCACGCCTGCTCAGTGCCTGTCATCCCCACACTCACACGCAGCCTCAGTTAAGCACCCGCAGAGATCCGTCTACTTTCCAATTTCTCATCATTTACCAATTTTGTCTTGAAGTTAACCATCAAAAATGTGTCCACTTCAACACTTCCACCTGCGTCAACGAGGCAAATGTTTATTGCTTTTACAAAGAAATGGCTAAAAAAAGGTTATAAATAAATTCTGCCACTGAAATGGTATTTTACATCATGTTCAAGTTCTAAATCACTCAGGGTGTGGAAGACCTTGCAAGCCTTCAGAAAAATCATGTGGAACTTGGTGAACAAGATTACTTGCAACTAAACACAGAGTGGAGCCAGATCTGCTCAGTCAGCTGGGATGTGACACACAGGCTCGGTGACACACAAAGTCACAAATCATAAGTGTTTTCATAAGTGTTTTTAGAGCACAAATTTAAACTATCACATTCTGCCTTCCTAAAATTTACTCTGGACTGACAGGCATGGAAGAAGTTGCTCTCTCCCAGTGAGAGAACTGCATAGATACCATACTTTCCCTAGAAGGTAGATGACTTTAGGAGTTAGTACATCTTAGAGTTGCTAATCTGCTTTTCATTCCTGCACTAGAAGAACTTTCACTCATTTACCTTGATGCAGATCTAGATCTTGATTTCCTATTGTCAGAAACATGCCGTTTTCCCTCCTGAATGGGTGGCTGTTCCACTTCCATATCCTAAAATGTGAAGTTGACAGGTGTTATGGGTGAGCAGCACAAGGATTTTATTTCTTTTTATGCTCAGATTAAATTAATGGCACTGAAAATACACTGAATATTCAAATGTGTGAAATTAAAAGAATAACATGACTCAAAAGCTTCACTATGTGGCCACTAGCAGGGAGAGGGTCCAGTATTGCATGTACTTAATACAGCCACTGAAAACACACCATAGAAATAATTTACATAATTCCCATTTTCCATTTCCAAATTATTAGTTTTCCACATTTTACCCATTTCAGCACCACCTGCATCTCCACAGAATACAATTTTATTCCTTAAGATCAGTCAGTGGATCCTGCTCCATCATCAAGATCCCAGGCAAAGTGAGATCTTTGGAGAAAAGCTGCAACTTTTCTCCAAGATGTTATGCTGGAGACAGGAAAGGAATAAGTGCTGGAGCTCTCCAACTGTCTCCCAGCAGAGCCAGCCTCATAGCCAGCTGTCTCCTGGTCATCCTGACATTTCTGCTCCACGGCCAATCCACACACATTTGCAAAGACATGTATAGAGCATTTAAGTTGGTGTGGTCACTGTAAGAGCTGCTCACCTGCTGGTGGGGTTTCTGCAGGTGTGGTTCAGCCTGGACTGGGAAGGGAGACTGGAAGGTTGGCTGCACTGGTGCTGCTGGAGGCATCACTGGCTGAGCTATGGGTGGGAACTGCGGGGTAGGCAGGAGACCAAAGCCTGGCATCTGCCCATTCGGAGGAAGCGGCACCTTGGGAGAAGAAAAAGAATTCCAGCTAGGAGAAGGAATTACATTTGCTTTCCCAGCAGACTCAAGTAAAGTTTTATGTCAGCTCAAAAGTCACAATAAAAGATGGGGGAAAGATGAAGAAGGCCAAGCATTTGGGTGTAGAAGTAACAATCTTGTCCTTCAAAGCCTGACTAGGATGGACACCAAAAATATGTTTCCTTGGGAAGATGGAGGGCTAAGCTACATTCACTCCTCACCAACAGGAAAATCACTTCCTTCCTTCTGCACCAAAGAAAACAGCAAAGGATGGAAAACACAACAGGAAGACAAGGGAAACCTGGGGTTACCTGGTGCCGCATTGGATCCTGCTGCATTCCCATCATCCGCTGCTGAAAAGGATCCATATTTGGGAGCTGAGGAAACACTGGCTGTTGCATGCCTTCTCCTGGAAACCCACTGAAAACAGGAATATTTTGGTGAGACAAGTCAGCAGATGAACAGACTTGTCTTTATTTTACACATTTCTATGCACATCTACACATTCTTGATGTTATTTTAGACAGAACAATTATCTTTACTATGATCCCGTTTCCAACAAAAAAAAAAAGAAAAGGAAGAAAGAGTGGTTTCCTGATCTTTTCTCCACTTAAGAGTAGTCCTTTCACATTTAAAGAGATGCTACACAAAGGTTAGAGCCTCTCTCGCCCCTTTACTTATATGAGCTTGCAAAAGATCTCAGCCTACAGAAACATTTCAGGAAGGTTTTCTGCCTTAGGCTAATTCTCTTCCTTCACAGTTCCTCTTTTGGGAACAAAAGAAGCAGTGCTTTTCTCCTCAAAGAAAAGAAACTGGCTGTACTCTTGCTGTAAGAAAACACTTGGATTTGGGAGGAAATAGGGCAGAGGAGAAGGGGGTGTGCATCACAGGAGATTCACAGTGATGCCCATCACTTCCTGATTCAACACACAGAATGGACAGTGCTCATGGAATTCTGGAGGTCTGTGCAGGTAACAGGACCTGCTTGCAGAATGCAGCCTGTGCAAGAAACTCAGCAGGATTTTCAGGGGAATAAAGGAATTTGATGGTGATGGGAAGTGGAGCTTTGCAGTGTCTGAAGACAATTCCGAGAGGATTCTGCACAGATCAGTACTCCATAGAGAGAATTACTGAGCTTGCATGCCCAGACTGGGAGCACTGGAATGACATCCTCAGGGACATCTTGCACAGCTGTGAGGCACTAAGGACAGAGGCCTGAAGCACTACCAATAGAACATAAGCATGCCCACAAGCCTCCAGCTGGGCAGACACAAGCAGTGCCTATGTTTGAACAACCTCATCTTTCTGTACTCCAGAGCTCCATCTGGATTCTAAGGCAAATCCTAGCCACTTCCTTCAAAGGCACTTAAATGAACTACTACTCGTGGACATGAAGTGCTCGAGGTGAGAGACACAGTCAGAAAGCTGATGACAGAGTTAGTGGTTCCGGTTTTGAGAGCAGGATTTAGATGCAGATACAGAGAGTAAGACATGGGGCCACGTACTGAAGCAGGGAAAAAAGAAATATGGACTAACCCCGGCATTGAGCACCATCCAGCCTGTGCACTGAATGAGAGAGAGGTCCTGTGGAAAAAACTGGGATGTGGTCATGTCATTCCAGACTTTATCATAACGCATAGCAAAAGGGAAACAAGAGCCTGAGCTCGCTTGTGTGGGGATGTAATGTTTGCCAACATAAAACGGTAAAGTCAATTTTCACTTCTTGAATACTTAAAACGATTACAACGTTTGGAATAGCAGCTTTTCCCCAGCCAGTTAACCAATCCAGCTGATCCAGTGATGCCCTGACACCCTCAGCTGTACTACAAAAAACATGGAACTCATCTTGCAACCAAAACTGGGCTTTTCTCTACACAGTCCTCCATCAATGAGGCAACGTAGATCTACACCAGATCACCAAACTAACAAGACACAAAAATCAGCCCACCAAAAACTGTTAACAGTGTTTTAAATTTGGACTGTAGCAGTTAAACACTGAACTAACTTGAAATTTTAATCTACTTTCTAACCTAAGAATGTTTTAGGACAAAGATTTCTTAGTTTTATTATGACACAGAACTTACAAAGCCGGCTGAGATACTGAAGGGGAAGGAGCTGAATCTTCTTTCTTTGAATCTTCCACTGCTTCTGGTTCATCATCATAGTCAAACCGATCTAGCAGCTTCTGGAAGAAATTACATCGGGACAACTATTTTTTCTGTATCGTAACCCAACTGGCAGCCAAAATATCTTTATTATTACATTCTTACAACATATGCAAGCTCTGAAACTAAAGACAATGTTAGAGTCGGGAAAATATAGAAATCTGTATTCCAACACAAAATTAAAACTGGCCAAGACCAGTCTTCTTCAGTTTCAGAAAAATGCAAATCAAGACTTACTTTGTCAAATGATGTTTTCTGCTCAGGTGCTGTGAAAGCAGCTTTCTGCTCTGGAGGCTGTGCTGCTGTGGTTTTCAGCTGAGCAGTAATAGCTTGAACCTGAGCCATCACAGTGTTGTCTATGACCGGTGACTGGGGCTTCTGAGGCTGCTGGAAGGTCTGCAAGATTTGCTGGAGCTACAGAAGCATAAGACAGTATTAAGTCTGTGTTCTCATATAAACACTAAGTATTGAAAGAGTTGCAGAATATAAATTTTATGTCAATACAAACTGTGGTAGGCGATGAACATACCAACAACCTGACTGAACTGTGGAACATTTGCAGCAAGACCAGGACTCCCTTTTTAAATACTCTGGTGGCAAAATTCAGCAGACCCCGACACTGCAGTGTTCAGGCCCTTCAACACAGTAAACATTTAAGAGGACTGAACAATAAAATTCTGCATTTTCTTTGAGATATACCACCTGTTCTGGAAATCCTGTTACTGCATCAATTCCTAACTAACCATTTAGGAACATAAAACCGAGTATCATCAAATATCAGAATGATTGGATGGAACAATTTAAATATTCCAATTCCTCCTGCAAGTTTTCCACCGAAGACCTCCGGGAAGCTGTTTTGCTTCAATCCAGGCTGTGAATTCCACCATTTCAGACAGAAGCTGAAGGGAATCAGTGAGCAGGTTACCTGTTGTCCCTGTGTTGTCTGGAACAGCTGGGCTACAGCTGCAAAGGCATCAGAGCTGGGCAGCTGTGGCACGCTGGGCACGGAGTTCGCCGTCACTGGCGGGGGCTCTGAGGGAACCTTGGCCGGAGGGGGCGGCGAACCTGAGGGTTTGCAGGAACACAGAAAGGGCTCTGTGACTCCACAACGTTCCTCTTGCTCCCCACAACAAGTGTCCACTGCCTACACCCCCCTGTTTAACCCAAAAGGGCCTGTTTACACCACTCCAGCTACATACTCTGCTCGTTCTGCCATGAACTGCTCTCGTCGCTGCTCACACCTGAGCTTGGGATGCGCTAACACAGAAAAGCTGGTCCCACGTGGAATTTTAGCTCCCAGCTCCATGTTTGTAGCTGTGCAGGTTTAGGACAGCTCTCACTCAAAGAGCATTAGGCAATGAGCTTCAATACCCTGAACATGGTGGTTCTGCTTCCACAGACCTGGGCTCATCCTTTTGCATGAATGATCCAAATCAACCATCTCATGGCTCACTGGAAGAGCAGCTGAGTTTTTCTCAGTATTTTCCACCAGTAACTGAACTTTTGCAGAGAAGTCTAGCAATAATTGAAGGGTTTTATGGATTACTTCACAGGCAGTTTTCTTTGATAAAGTTTGTTCATGTGTCCCTTTTGCACGTGCACAAGCCAAATCTGCAGATGATGGATAAATCCTCCCACCAGGAAAATGATATTTACTCATTTTTCCAGGAAGAGACTCTCATTTCCACTAAGCTTTGCTGAGACTGAGATCACAATTTAAGACATGATATTAGTGTTCCCATTCTCTTTGTCTTACATGACAACATCTTTTTTAATAAACATCTTACCAGTACTAAGTAAATTAGCAATAATCCCCATCAATTCCTACATACTGTGAGTAACTATTCTTCAGCAGATCTGTTTTAATAGACATAATAAAGCTGTATAAGGAGTGAGTTAAAAAAAATTCCACAGATAGAAATAATTAGTTTGAAACTCTAAGCAAACATGTTTGCCTTGCAATAGCAACTCCTTTAAAGCCATTCCTCTGTTTGCACTTCAAATAACTCCCGTGTTGACAGGCAGCAAGCACAGGCAAATGAGTCGAATAATACTTTCCCAAAAGTGAAAGGCAACATAAAGATAAAGCAAAAATATATGTTTTGTTTTTAAATATAAGGTAAATCCCAAATTATTTCCTGGATATACTCAGAAGGATATTTTCTTGTTCAAGGGAGAAAATGTACATTTCTCTCTGCCTTTATGGGTGAAACGGACTCCATTTCACGTAATGCATTAATATATTTATTGTTATTCATTAGCATATTTATTGCAGGGCCAAATTATCCCCTCTGGTGCATCTGAATAACCTCACTGAAAATCTCTTGCAGAAAGCAGCCAATCTGTTCCCCACTACTGAGGAGAGATAGAGCTGGAGCTGGACAGGCAGTGCCCCTCTCCTGTCCCAAAATTCAATTGTGCAGCCACCAGTCTGTCCCTGGGCTTGGATGCCAAGGCATTCCCCGGCCCTACCCGGTTTATAAAACCTTTAATGGGATACACTTCCCTGAACACAGCTGGAGATGATTTCACTGTTTTGCTGTCCCTCAGCACAGCTCACTCCCTCCATTCCATTTTCCCAGTCGTACTCCACGAGCACAGTAAATAAGGAGGTTACCAAAGCTCAGTGTGAAACTGAGTGCAGAGCCAAAAAGCAGCTCTCTGGAGAAAGAAAGAATTGTGGAATGCATATTCCCTGCAACCTCGCTCCCAGCTTTGCTGTGGTAATAAATAGGTCAGTGCAGGCACTGTGGGCAGGCTGGCACTGCTGTGCTCTGCAGGTCGGTGCTTCTCAGCCAGCAGCCCATGCAAAATCCCAGGCACAAATGTTCTCTTTGAGAACCTGGATGTGAAACGCCAGTCCAAGACTTGCAGGGCTGCACACTGAGACACTGACAGCTGCTGCTTTCAGCTACTAAGCTGACTCAAAGGAAGATGAAGTTCTTTAACATCTAAGATCCCACTTACTTACCCGGATTCTGGCATTAAAAAATGACATCAGAACTATAAAATTGAGAAATCACATAAAAATATTTCAAAGCAAAAGAAAAAATACTATCTGTTTAAGAAGGCACACTCAAGTCATCTGTAAGTGTGCATATATATATATATATATATATGTAACATGCATATATACATGACAAACACTTAATACATTTCCCAAGTCAGTATTCACGTGCTGATAATTTCTGAAGTACAGTATCAGCCCTTACTTAAAATGAGTTTAGCTGCTTATTGTGACGAAGATTACTTTATTGCTATGTCACTGCTGGAACTAACAGCAGGTACTTTGTACTGAAAGCAAACAAGCTGTTGCCATTGGCCCTCTGAGAGCAGAAGTTAAAATGTCATTCCTACCTTCATTGTTAGTAGCATTCTCTGCCATGGGTGCAGTGGCACTGGTTCCTGCTGCCATATCCAAGAGAGGCTGAATGATTTCAATTTTAAATACTCCATTTTTCTGCCAGAGGTTCAGGACACGAACTATTTTACTCTGTTGAAACAAAAGGAAGCAACAAGGCTGAACCCAGCTTTCTTAAGTCACCATTTTATCTTCTATATGCAGAGAAGGTTTGAACAGTACATGACATAATCATACCAATTTAACAAACCCTGTGTCATGACAGAGGTAACACCTTTGAAATGGCAAAGATAAAAACTGCCAACTAATTTTACTGTCAAAGCAATCTGTGACATTTCCCTAAAACTCTTCTGGCCCATCAGAAATACAGGTGTGATGTAAAATCCAGGATATAATTTCAGCCCCATGTCTACACAGGTGTCACAAAGGGATGAAACAACCAACCCACATGACCAAAAAGAGAGAAGGAAGATGAGCTGGAAAGCCTTCATGAAGAGAGGGGTAGTTAGACCAGAAAATGCTACAACAACAAGTCAGATTGAGGGCTCCTTGCTTGGTATTATTCTTAACCCAACCAATCCTATGTTGACACCAGAAACTGCACCTCCATTATTATCCAAAAGATGAGGAAAGCAAGCGGGGAAACATCCTCACTGATCACTGCAGAAGGATTAATTTAGAATCTCTGACTGTCAGCTGTTATTTTAAGCACTTTTTTTTTTCTTTTTACATGAAGAACAATGCAGTTTCCAGGAACAAGCTGGAAATTGGCCTTTCCTTCTTTAGCCCAGCATTCAAACAAAAATGTCTCAGTAGTTGTGCTGCTCGACCTGAAACATGCAAGCAGGTAGTTGTGTTGCTGTCCTTTCTGCAGACTTAGTCATACACCTGCACACATATAAGCTTTAAGTACCTTTTAGTTGAAATGAATTGATTCTGCTCTTTCACTGTGACTCAGTTACATATACCCATGTAAATCCACCTCTAACTAAGTGATTAAAGAAATTTACAAAATGTTTGCTAAAATAATGTCAATTACAGAGAAACCTGAAATGTCTATTTTAAAGTAACATTTTGGTCTGAAAAACAGTTAATTTTTAAAACAGCAGCAATTTTTTTTGCTTTGGGTATTCGATCTCTCCAGAAAACTTGAAAATTACACAAAGGCCAAAAAAATGGGCAAATGTAATACTCTCGTTTTTAGTCATTTTACAGAAAGGCTGTTTTAAAAATAAAAGCATTATCCTCTTCAGATATCACCCACAGTTGTATCTGCAGGTCAGGATTTGTTTGGTTAGGAACTAGAAATTCATTAAAGCAAGTGTGTTTTAAATAATATCCTCTATATCAAGTAGTTCCATGAAGGAGATGGACAGTCTCATTCACTCAGATGAACAAAATGGTAACACAGAAACAGAAAGGAGAAGGGACTGCTCTGTTCCACAGGCTATCAACCCAGGAGCTCCCAAATATCAGATTCAATGCCTCAAGGCTTAAATGTTCCGCATTAGAAAACTACAGAGCATCCAAGCCTTTCAAAAGTTGATTTAGAGAGTCAGGGAGGAAGTCAGGGAGAAAAGGAGTATTTCACTCTTACAAAGAGAAAGGGAACAGGTGATTTTCTGGAAACCAACTGGCAACTTCTAAAATACACTGATCTTGGAAGCCTCAAAACTGTTCTGGCAGAGGTCACAAAAACCATAACCTCTGGGCCATCAGGAATTCACACCACATTCTGAGCCTCTGTTCTACTAAAAGGTACAGTAGAACTAAGAAAAATTAGGCCTTAGACCAGCCCTGACAGTGGAGAGCACCAACAAAATTCAAGTAAGGAATTGGAAAAGACTGAATAAATCAACATGCTGATTTCTTAGAAAATATTTCTGAGCAGAACATGATGATTTTCTTAGAAAACATTTCTGAGCAGACAGTTCCTGCCTACAAAACCAAAGCTTCTCCTGCAACACTTTCTTGTTGTGGCAGACACGGCCTTCCAAAGGAAGTCCTGAAGGAGCCTCAATAAGGACTTTTGGCACATTAACACACACTGCTGAAGTGTGTGCATAGGCTAAACAAAACTGATGAGTTGAGTTCTTTTAACTTGAATTTGCACTTAACTGTCACCTTTGATAATCTTCAGCAACAGCCACAAGCAGGGTCAGAGCGAATCCCCCAATAGCTGCCACAGGAGAGCAAGCACCAAGCCAATGGACAGCAAAACGCCAAGTGCTCATCTTACCTTGTCTTCAGATGGACACAGATACAAATACTGGAATGTGGCAGTAATATTCTTCGAGAACCTGGGCCCAAACACGTCCTTGTCTGTTCCAAACTGGTGCCGGGACTGCCGAACGATGGAGTCGATGACGTACAAGCCCGGGACTTTGTACTCCGGCTTGCACTGCGAACAGCAAAGACATTCTGTGTCAGGCAGGGGCTCCACGAGGTAACATCCCCCTGAGAGCCTCACAGCAAACCTGCTCTGGGGCTGAAGCACAGCTCTGCATTCCAACCTGTTGTTCTTCATGCCCTGGCAAGCATGAACACTGCATTCTCTGGAATTATGTATTGTCTTAGTGACAATTCATTTGAAGCTCAGCACTTCCAGGTTCTTCCCCAACTGCTGCATAGGGAAGATGGGAAATCTCTCAATTTACTTCTTTCCTCCCCTCCTTAATGTATTATGGAAAACTACAATATGGAGCTTATATATACAAAGTGATACCAAAATGCGTGAAATCCTAACGAACCAGAATTTCCTCCCTCAATCCCTAAGTAATAAAAGCCTTTCTGGTTATTTACTTGCATGATTAGCAATATCTAGCAAAGCATGCAGGTCACTTTATCAATAAACTTCCTTTTTTTTTCCCTTTTTACCTTTTTGATAAACTTCTCCACAATCTGGACAACATGCTTGTAGAGCTGGAAAATAAATACATCCATTAATTTCTCATCTCCTCAGCAGTGGCACATCATTTTTAGGAGCATTTTAACTCTTTGTGCTTATGACCATTTTGGAAAGGCTACAGAACGTTGTAGTAGTCACTTTCTAAAAAGCAGGATGTTCCCAAACTGAGAAAAATATTCCATGGGAGAAACCCAGACCCAAGGCAGAAGTGTGTCAGTGTGCACACAAGGCACAGAGCTTACCAAGTATTAGTGAAAGCTTTCTGCATTTACTTTCTCTGCAATCCACAATGGTTTCACATGTTAAGGTGCAGTTGCATCCTGCAATATTTAGTTTTATTACACAAAAATCACAACACTCGAGTGGGTGTAGCATGAAAAAGCAACGACTCAAAAAAATCCAAGCTAGCATTTTGCTCCTAGTCCAAAACCAAGGGATGATATTCACCACCCACTTGTTTCTAGACAACAGCCTTAACAGCAACTAGAATAAACCATCCCCAAAGCTGAGATTGGGAAATCCTGAGTATTTATTTACAAGTGAAATAATAAAACATTGCTGCTGTTACAGTTTCATCTTTGTTTTGTTGTACTTTACCTTAATAGCTTTAATGGCAGCTTTTGTGATGAGAATCATCTTTGCTCGGGAAATAGGAGGTTTCATCTCCATCAGTGAGAAGAGCTAAACAGAGAAAACAAACATTAAAAATGTATTCTGAAGCTCAGCAATTAAGCAAAAACCAAGATTTCAGGTGGGTGACTTGATTACCGCCATCCCACACTGTGTATGGCCCTGGGAGAACTGGCTGTTTTACAAACTCAACAGAAACCTGCATTTACCAGGTTATTGCTAAAAAGAAATGCTTCAACTGCTCTGCAGACTTGGCTGCCTTACCCTCCAAATGGCTCCCAGGGGAAAAGCTCACTCCTCAAGGAGAACATTTGCAGAAGTTATAGATATTATATGAAATCTATAGAGGTTTATTGGAGTATATAGAAGTTATGTGTCATCTTTACAGGTGACATTGGCCATAACTGAAAATAAACATTAGCTCCACATTTCAGAAACTGAGGGAAACCAGAACTGCACACAGAGATGGACACAGAAAGCTGGGCATACACACGCAATTATTTTTACCTTGATATATTCCTCACAAATCACAGAAAAAAATTGGTTTGTGTTACATAATTTCATTTTTGTCTTTATCATAAAGAAGAAATTGAGCCCTTGAATGCAAGTAAAAAATGTCATCTATTATTTGCCACAAAGCCAAGTAAGAGAATCAAAGTGTCTTCATTTGTCAGTGTAATGGAAAGTAAGATGTCATTTAAAACTTAGTCTCTTATTTTATTAATTAAAGTACCAAAATACTGCTGAAGTGACCAACTTACACAGATCCATCCACTGTCTCAGTTAAGGAAAAAAAAAAAGTCAGTGAAGGAGATAAGAAAATTGGCCATACTCAAAGAAAAGGGAAGTGCTAACAAGACTTACAGCTGTACAAAAGGAAGCCTTACACCTACAGAAAACACCAAGAAAAGGACAAGGTATTGACTTTCTTAATTTGATTCCTATTCCAGGAAAGAAGAAAAACTGTCCTCAAAGACAGTGGTAGCCACACGCCTTTTCCAACACCAACACAAGATCATGACTCTTCATTATTCATCCCCACAAAATGGAAGTTCTCGTGCCAGAACTTTGGGGATTTGAAGCCATTTCAGCTGTAAGAGATACTTCAGCTAACATTGCTGCTTGCTGAGAAATCACAGTATGGACAAATAAAATACAGAATGAGAGAGGAGACTGTGAGCTGATGTGGGTTTTTTGTAAAAATCTTGTTTTCAATTTAGATTTAAGTTGTTTAGAATAAGTGCAGAGACTCTTGATGAACAAAGTCAGTGCTATTATTAAAACTCAGGAAAATCTGTTTTAAGAGGTAATAAAAAGGGGGGGGGAATCCAAACTCCAACACCCAAAAACAAACCACCAGAAGGCTCAAAATCTGAGATGAGGAAGGAAGAAAAAGATCCAGCATTACAACAGGCACTCCATATCCCCTTCTTGACCCATGAAGAAGCAACTGGTTCTCCAGGAAAGGATCCAGTCCCACAGCAAAAGAACAAAGGACCTGGTGTGGAAGCACTGCTTTGGCATTTGTATTTCAGGAACACAAGGAGAGACCCCAAAGAAATTGGGAGAGCTCAGAGCAGGGCTCAAGGTGACAAGAAACGAGTGCAGCAAAAAAATAAAAAAACAAGCGCCTTAAAAGTATCCCAAGCAGGACATTGCAACTGGGGGGAACACAGAAAAAAATAAAAACGCCAGGGAGAATGAAGGCACACCTACTTGAGTGTGCATATCTATCCATCCATCCATCCATCCTGCTCTTTTCACCTCCTCACAGTACCTCTTGGAATTTTACCTCAGAATTTTGCTCCTTTTTTAAAAATTACCTAAGATCTTAAAACACCAAGTAACTATTTATAGTCAATTTTTATGTAATTCTTGGTATCAGTTACATGTGTCAACACCATGTTTTAGAGATGGGTACAGCTAAAATTTAGCTCCCTTCCTAGTTCCTCATGACTTCTCCATGTTGGAAAGGGGAGCTGCTCAGAAGACACTCGGGTACTTCCAGTTGCATTTGTTCAATTAGACCTGGATCTTCTTTCACATACATTTCCCAAACCAATATGCAAAAAAGTCACCCAACCAATATTTTTAGAGGGCTGTTTCACAATAATACATCCAGTTTTTCAAAGGACACCATAACTAGCTCAAGGAACAACTTGCACACAAAAACTTACACTGTATTTACAAAAAAAAAAGAAAAAAAAGTGATGTACGTAACAAAGGCAAAGCAAATTTACAGCTTGAGAGGTTTCCAAAGTCCAGACTCACAACAGGAGTCTGTGACCTCCTAGAAATGACCTTCTGCTTTTACTGCCCCTAAATGCATGTTTACAGGATGTTGATACAAAAGAAGTAGAGGTGTTCAAGGGTATTAAACTCAAGCCACAATACAAAATATTTGAGAGTACCTCCGGGTGCTTCTTCCAGCAGGACGGAAATACACGGTAAAGTATCTATAAAGCCAAAGATGCAAAAGGCAGAAAATTCACCTGCTCAGTTTCAGGCTAATAAATGCTATTAAACCATGGCAGGACAGCCAAAGGGAGACTAAGCATAGAGTGATTGTCCCCAAATGCAAACTGTGAAGTACAAGAGCTCCACAGAGTGAACAGAGACCTCTCAGCTCCCACTGTGCCCCTGCTCCAGCCCAGGAGCCCCTGAAGTGCAGAGGGCCAGGTAATGGCACAAGGAACAAGGTGCTGATGGCCTTAACTTCTCAGTCTTTTGAGCAGCAAATTATTAATTTCTCTCATTCTATAATTAATGCCCTTTGATGGTTTCGTTTACATGGAAACCTGAGAACAAGGGGGTTTTAAAGTAAAGGGGAGAACTGCTACTTTAAAATTTACCCAGCTTGATGTATGATCTTAAGTCTGTCTGTTTTAAGTGTGAGGTAACACAGTAAAAGTACCTTTTAGGACTTGAACTGACTTCCTTGGCTTTACCCTCTTGCTCAAGCGTCTGTGCCATAAAAAGGTGTCCTTATTTACAAATGAAGAGCTATGAGCCTATTTTATACACTCACTAAACAAACACCAGAGCACAGCAGCTGCACAGAGAGGAGCAGGAGCTACTGAACCAGACAGTGGTTAGTGATTAGTGGATATCAAGCACCCAGGTCATTGTCAGGACACCTCATTCAACCTCCCCTTCTCCAGTTTCCAGAGCAGTCCAATATGCCTTCAACCATTCCAACACACCTTAGGTGTCCCACAACTCTTCCCCAAGCAGGCTCCATGCACAGTACATTCATTCACTGTCTTTTGGAATGTATTTTATTAATTAATTTAGAAACCACTCGACGCAGACATAAATGCAGTTACCTGTTCCTGTACAGAAACAAAGGGATCGTGGAGGACACAACAACAAGCACAGATATTGCACTATTATGTTAACAAAACACCTTTATTGTTAATGCATGACCAGATCTTTAAAAGGAATTCTGTCAGCTCTACCCATTTTCCTTCCCCTATAAAAGTCACTGCTTCCTTTCCTCTTCAGGTCCCTGTTCTTTCTTAAGGGAAGGAGAAGGATCTGTTGCTAAGCTGTATCTCAGAGGACCAATGCAAGTTTTAAATGCTTGACCACCAGCTGGGAAGCACAAGCAACTATTAGGTGCTGCTGAAGGTATGAGATGACCATAAGATCAAGAGCTGTCAGGTTGCATTCTTTGGAAAATAAAGTGAGATTTGAATTCGACCAAGGCAATGAAGCTCAATAGCACTTCATCAACTAAGCGACTTCTGTGGCCTAAAAAGACCATTCACAAATCCTGAATCACTGGGGAGAAACATCTTCACAAAAGATACTCATATGAAAATGACATCATGCAAGTGCACAGAACAGAGTTTTGTTTTCTACTCATGTGTTTTGGAAACACAGCCTTAAAGATCAGGGCAGGGCTCTTTTGCCCAGCACATCTCCTGGAAAGCTGCTTGTCTCACTACTTCTCTTACCAGGGATCTCTAACAGAATGCCACAGCTTCCAATACTCCTGGAAACAAGTTCAGGCCAGAGGCAAGAGACTCCAGCCAGATGCTGGCAGTTGTGTCCTTCTCCTTTTCTGTGCACATGGAGACTCACTGGGGATCTTGAGCTCCAGTTACTGCTGGAGAACCACTGGGAAGGATATCCTGCTAACTTCTATTTATAGCTCCTCGGGATGGAGAGGAAGGCTGTCACAGAATGGGCAAAATAAAGTCTTGCCATTGGCAGAAAACAGCCACACTGGATCTAAACTTCAACTGTCCAGTGCCCTCGGGATGGGCAAACAGCAAAGAAGAAATGTGCAGCTCCAGCCATAAATAAACAGCCCTAGGACCTCTCATCTGTTTGTTTCTAGGCACATTTAGGTGGGGTATCAATTGTTTCAGGGGTACACATTAACTACTGAGACACAGCACTCAGTGAATGATATGCATTACTCAACACAAATAAGAGATTACAAAACAGGAAAGCTGACTTTATTTTACTTCCAGCAGCAAGATTATTAAAAAAAAAAAAAAAAAATCTTCATTTCTAACTTTTAAAACCAGTTAACTATGCCTCAAGTTTTCCAGATGAAAGAAAAGGACAGACATCCCCTAAGCTAAAATATGCCGAGGATTTATATGGCAGATCTGTGGGTTCGGTGGGGGATTTTTGTTTGCTTGTGTTTTGGGGGTGTGATTTTTAATTTTTTCTTAAGAAAAATGTTTGCTTTTTTTCTTAAAACCATAAAAAGTTCTGTCCCATTATCCAGTTAACTTTTGTGATTTATTTATACTGTACCATTGCTGTAACATAATACATACACCTAACAGCACATGAATTCTAACTCGTGAAAGTAAACTCCTCAGAGAAAACACATTCCACTACAGACCTGTCAAATCCCAACTATTCAGCTGGCAGCACCTGCTCAGACTACAGCTGGGTTAAAAAAAAAAAACCACCCAGTAAAAAACCCCTTGCTTGCTCCTGTAAAAACATGAGCACTTGGAAGTGGACATTTATTGGCAAAGTTGCATTCAAAATGCAGGTCCAAAGAACAGGATTGGGAATGGCATACAACCCAACACGATGGAATTATGCAACCCAGGAGTTACCACCCCTTGCCAGAGCCAAACTTACTTCTCTCCCCGCCCAAGTCCTTCTGCCAAGAGGGGACCCAACCACACAGCTCAGAGGACACCAGGTTAACAGCCACGCTTGGAAATTGGGCCTCCCACCATCCAAGAAATTGCCACAAACACCAAACCCACCCAAAACCCCCAAATGACGGGACCACCCGATGGCGTAAGTGGCATCTCCTCTTTCAGGCAGTGGCAAAGAGCTGGCAGGTGCCACTTCCAGGGAAGCAAAGCCAGCAGGGAATCACTGCTTGCACACATGGCAAGTGCAGCACCAAACTACAGCTGGAGCTGCCATGGTAAAACCAAACTTCCCTGGCTACAGTGGCACTGTACAGCCAGCAAGTGCACCCATTCTTCTGGGCCTGTGGGGTATTCTGTAGCTGCCCCATCTTCACTGCTGAAGCTGCTCCCCTCCCAACCAAGCAATTAAAATGTTCAGTGCCCTAGGAGTAGCACCCCTGAAGGCCTCACAGCAGAGCCCTCCCAGGGCTGAGCAGCCCTTGCTATCCCCCCCACTCTGGGAACACCACCCAGACCTTTGGTACAAGCCCTCCTTCCCTGAGAAAGCCCAGGAATGAACAATACCTGCCCGTAAATCTGGCCCTCCTCACATTTCACATCAGCCTGTGTCACTCTGCGAGCACAGCTCCAGGCAACACAGGCAGAAAGAGGGAAGGGATCAGTCAGAGAACTGGACTTTATGCCCTGCACACCAGCACAAACACAGCTCCTGAGAGGGTGCAGGGCAGGAACCACACAGCCCCTGAAGTTATTCATGTGCTGCTTTACACACCAGTAGCTCTACAGAAGCACTCAGCCGTACAAAGTACTGCACAACAGGGATTTTAGCAAGTGCAGTTCTGTCCCCCAGAACTGAGATCCAACTGAAACCCAACACATCAGGGTTTCACTCAGTATTTCCAACTGCACGGAAGCAAAGCATCCCACCATTCCTACACGGAAGAGGTACAGATCCAAACATGCCCGTTTCCAAGACACGGATTAGTCATGGGATCCCCAGAAACACCACTTTTGCTCTGCAGTCACCATTCAGCACAAGCAGTGGGGTCATTATTTGACAGGCACCATTCAGGCTTGTCAGGCAGCAGTGCTCCGCCAGGACCACTACTCATATTGATGCAGGTAATGAAGAAGATTGCTGCTCTCTCTTTCCATCAACACTGAAAATGGCACACGCGTGCTGTTTTAATTTATTTGGGAAGGTGGCTTTGCACCCTGCCACCCCACTGGTTCAGAGCTGCACAAAACCCTCAAACCACTGGCAAATAAATAAACCATTAACAGGAGCTTTTCCCTTTGCTCTTGCAGTTTTGGTAAGGATGAGGGCATTCTCAGGTGCGTGTATGACAAACTCTTGCAGAGAGGGAGCCTTACACAGCCTGAATCCATCACACGGGAGCAGCTACCATTTCTCCTGTTTCTGTTCAACAGGCAGGCACAGCCACCCAGCCTCCAACACCAGTCTGGGAACAGGCTCTGCCTCAGCTTTAAGTGATTTTCTGTCCATGGAGGGTCCGCAAAGCCACACTGTCCAACTGAGGCAGAAGTATAACTAACAGTAATAAATATTCATATTGAAGTCACGTGTCAAAAACTCTATATAGCAGAGGCTGAATTGACTTGCTGAATATTATGCAAAAAAACAACCACAGTCCACTTTGCTTCCAACTCCTCGCGACTAACTAAGAAATAAAAAAACCCCCAAAAACATAAGAAGACAGGGAAGGACCTTCTGTGTGGTACGAAAGGCGAGTGAACACTTTCCAACCTGTCCTGTTCCCAGAACTAGGATCGATCCCTGAGTCCCATCCCAGGCGCCGTTCCCACACAGGGATGAGCCCTCTCCCTCTGCAGCTTCTGGCCGTGCCGCCGCTTCTCACCGTGGCTCTCTGGCCAAGCCATTACCGGGAAACGCCAGTCCCGAAACTTCCCCAGCCCCCGAACAACACACACCGCCGGGGCTCCGCGTGACAAGGAGCCCGCCTGGGAAACCCTGCGAACAGCGATCCGGCCCAGGATCCCGGGATCCTGCTCTCCGGCACTGCCAAGAGGAAACCGAGGGGAGCAGCGAGAGGACGGAGGCTGCCGGGGAGGCCCAAAGGTCCCTTCAACGCCTCCCCCCACGCAGGCCCAGCCCGGCCCGGCCCGCGCGGGGCCTCGCGGAGCGGCCGCTGAACGGCCCGGCCGCGCTCGCCTCCATTTTCCCCCGGAGCACTGCTCTCCGCCCGGCGGCAGGCCCGGGCCGGTGCTCCCCGCTCAGGCCGCGGGCGGCGGGGCCGGGCCCGGCCGGAAGCGCGGGGAGCTGGGGGACGCGATGGCGGCCGCCGTGTGTCCCCCCCCGCGCGGCGGCCCGCGCTTCGCCGCCCGCCCCCCCGGCTCCCACCTCTTGGTTGAAGGCGTTCACGGCCTCCATGTCGGCGCTGGTGGCGGGAGGCGGCGGGAAGGCGGCAGGCGAGGCGGGCGGGCGGCGTGGCAAGGCCGGTCGGTGCCCTCAGGGCGCGGCCATGATGGCGGCGGCCATGGCGGGGCTCGCGGGCAGCGCGCGGCCCGGGCCGACCGCGCGACGGGCGGGGGGGAAGGCGCGGTGCACGCCGGGATCGGCCGGGCCTCCTCCCGGCCCACGCGAGAGGTTGGGCGGGAGTGATGGCGGCACCACGTGAGCGTCCCGCTCCGCGCGCGCGCTAGCGCCATGTCAGCGCCGCCTCCGGTGCCGGGGGGGAGAATGGCGGCAGCGGCAATGTCAGAGCCCTCAGCCGCTGTCACTGTCACCGACACTGCCCCAGCCCCTGGGACGGCACCGCTGTCCCGACGCCTCCCGCAGGCGCCGCAGTTCGGCCCCTCAGAGCACGCCGCAACAGCTGCGGTGCGGCCGGGCTCGGCAGGGTCCGGCTGAGCTCGGCTCGGCTCGGCTCGGCTCGGTTCGGCTCGGTTCGTCTGAACTCGTCCGAGTTCGGCCGAGCTCGTGATTTCGGCCTGTCTCGGTTTGGTTCGGCTGCGCTCGTCTGAGTTCCATGGACTCGGTTCGGCTGAGCCCGGCTCGGTTTGGCCGGGCTCGGTTCGGAAGAAGGGGTTTAGGGCAGCTCAGTGGGTCCAATAAAATTGGGCCATAGCGTCTAATAAAATTCTGGGTCCTATCAATACTTTTTTATGGGATACGGAGTATTTAAGCCTGAGAGGAATGTGTGACTAATTGTCTTGTAAGCATTTTTGGGTTTGCAATACACTGGTGAAAAAAAAAAAAAATAAAAATAATTTTTTTTTAAATCTAGTTGGATTATATTTGAGGGAGGAGAAAGAATTCCTATGCAAGAGACAATTCCTAGGTTAAAGTTGAAAAGTTTTGCTTGGTACTCTGGAGAAGCACTGATCAAATCCTAACTTGTTAAATCCTTACTTACTAAACTTTCCGGGTATTGGCGAGCAGATAATTTCTGCCGGGCTTCACGCCTTCGATTTCAATTTTTTTATTTTTTTTCCCCCAGTTTCTTGCTGCTCCGCCAGTGCCTGCAGCGGCCAGGAGATGGCCCTGATGTCCGCACTAAGAGGGGAGCACCAGGAAACACAATTTGCTCTCCCTGGAACCGTGTCTGAGGAGTGTCGGCAAATATCTTGGGCCAGTGTGAATTCACAGGATAAACGATCACTTTGATCTCGTAGCACATGAGGGGCGCAGATTCAAGAACAAAGTCCCGGAACTTGTTGCTTCACAAAAGAACTCTGTTTCTTTGCTCAGTACGAAGGATCTGACGTGTCCCTGAATTCAGAGGACGGCCATCAAACAAAATTCCTGGGTGTTGGTGGGGGGTTGTTTGTTTTTAAAGCGACAATAATCCCAAGGCAGCTTCTGGCGCTTTGCTCTGAGATGTTGAGGTCTGGTCTAAAGATTATTTAAAGGCTTTATCACTTCTGTGGTTTTTGTACTTCTGCCTGCCCTTCCTCCCCGAGTTATGGTGTTTATATCCTTCACGGAGTCTGCGTTGTTTTGTTCTCCAGCATAACCCACTTGGGACAAGCCACCCCAATGAGAACCCTTTTATCCTGGTAAAACTTTTCCAAACATCAGGGCCAGCCATTATCCTGAATTGGTCTTGTCACAAGATCCCTGTAGCTGGATCTGAAGGGGAAGGGATGGAGCTCTGAACTCCCCAAGGTCACTGTCCCCTGTCACCTCCTGTCCTGTCACCTGCCACTGCCCACAGCCATCTTTCCTGTGCCAGTTTTTATCACTGATTTATTTCCAGGATTCACTTTCAGGCTTTTTGCTTTGCTCTCAACAAAAGCAGTCAGCCCTGTTTGCATCCAAAATTCCCCAGCTGGCGTTCTTTTCAGTCAGAAAACCAAGTGTGAGAACACAAAAACCTGTTTCAGTTTCTTAGTAAAAACATAATTTTTTATATAGATATATATACATACACACATATATATAAACACACCCACACACACACAGACTGCACCATGGCCACTAAGCAGATTGTTTTCCACATTGTATGCAGAAGGATTCTTGCAGAGGATGATCATTTTTGTGATTCAGGGCTGAATTAAACCATACAAAACTCCATCCAAATTGTGGAATGGCCTGGATGGGTAGAGACCTTTAAAACCCATCCAGTCCCAATCCTGCCATGGGCAGGGACACCTTCCACTGTCCCAGGGTGCTCCAAGCTCTGTCCAGCCTGGCCTTGGACCCTTCCAGGGATCCAGGGGGCAGCCACAGCTTCTCTGGGCACCCTGTGCACAGGGAAGGATTTCTTCCCAGTATCCAATCTATCCCTGCCCTCTGCCAATAGAAGCCGTTCCCCCTTGTCCTGTCCCTCCAGTCCCCTGTCCCCAATCCCTCTCTGTCTCTCTTGTAGGCTCCACTCAGATCCTGGAAAGAAAGTCCCTAATGCTAAGTTCCTAAGCAATCCAAAGGGCTCCTGGGCATTATGAGGTCTGAGCACTGGAGCCTGGGAAGGGAAAGCAGTTGGAAAACACCTCTGGTGTTGATTGTGTGCCAACATCAAACACTTGCCCACTGGCTGGCAGGAGATAAAAGCCCAGGAGCTGAGAAAGGAGGAAGGACACCAGGAGCACCAGGGAGGGCTGGCTGTGGCTGTGAGAGTGCATGCTTCCATGGAATTCTCTTTCAGGAGCCCTCTGGATGGCTGTAGGGATGGGAGCCCCGTGTGCCCTGTGGTCCTGCACAGGTCACAGGCAGCTTCTGATGGTGCTCAAATAATCCTGTGCCTTCTGTCACCATGAACTGTGACATGCTTCATTTGCAAACTCACTGCTTTGGCTCTGGTTGGATTTTGTTTGTGGGTTGGGTTGTTTGTGGGTTGGGTTGTTTGTTTTGTTGGTTTTTTGGTTTTTGGTGGGTTTTTGTTTGGTTGGTTGGTTGGTTGGTTTTTTGGCAAGGTAGAAATCCCATAATTTCAAATGGAAATAATTAATAAAACAAACCCTGCCAAAATAAACATTCCTCTGCATGCGTGTGCAGATCTTCTCTTCCTTAAGGAGAGGAAGCACGTCATGGGATGGGTTTGTTGCTTCGTGTGCTCCTCCAAAACACTGGAGTGCTGCAAAAAAGGGGGTGTTTGAAGGACTTGAGTTCCACATCTCATTGCCATATTTCCTGGAAGCAGCAAAGCCATTTGGCTTTTCCCAGATTTCAATGTTCCTGTTACAAAGAGCAGGATGTTTCTCCAGGTTTTCCTGCTCCTCTGCAGGCTCATGACTGATTTTCAGTGGCAAATTAGTACCTGTCTCTTTCACAGCACAAGGATTTTTTGTTTTCAGATGGATTTTTAAAATTTATTTACACACCTGGGGATTTTTGTGTGATGAGAAACATACATTGCAAAGGTGTTTGTTTTTTTTCCCAATACATGCATTTCTGTGTTCTGTTTTTCTGTAATTCCTCTATATCCACAAATATGGGTCATATTAAAAAAAATATGGGTAAGCCTAGAGTGGATTCTAGGAAAAATACCTTGCTCTGAGTATACAAGTACAGCTGGAAATATATTAATGTTGAATACATGTGCTTGTAAATAAGATCTTTTATTTAGATATTTTTTCAATGTAGGGATTGGGACATACTTCCGAAGTAATTACTGCCAACATTTTGGGAAGATTCTTAAAGCTTTTCTGTATTTTTGATATTACACTATTTGGAAAGCAATCAGCTGGCAATGAGGCACATTTGGCATGGGCTGGGAAGATGTGTATTCTGCTTTGAGTGACCCTGAGGTCTGTTAGCATTTTATTTAGAATATTTAGAAGATGAAGCTTGTGTAATCATGCTTTTTGTACACATTTTTGTGTTTTGGGGAAATGAGGCCTTAATCTGGTAAAGGGATGACTAATTTATCTATGTTGTTATTGGTTACTTGATTGGATAAAACCTTGGCTATTGATTGTCCAAACATTTCAGTTAGTAATGCTCATATATAAAAATCATCCTGTGATATTACCAGGGTTACTTCTAAAAATAAACTTTTATAAAAATGGACTGATTTTAAATATTATGCTTGAAATTTGCTTTTGTGTGACTTTGCTCTGCTTAAAAACTACTTTTTTTGTTTTAAGGTTCACATCCACTTTGCTCACCTGTCTTGTATCTTATCCTGTATTAATGTATATCAGAGGACAGACTGAAGGAGTGCTTGTATCATAACTGTGGGGCAAAATCCTGCAGTCACATAAATACCTTATCCCTTGATATTTAAATACATCCCTGGATTCATCCCATAAACCGACTTTGTCCCATTTGTCCTTCACCCTTCCGTGTTTTTCAGCTTCCTCTCCATTGTGAGTCTACCCCTCTGTCCCTTTGCTTTTCCTGATGACAAGCTTGTGACTGTTCCTTCAATCACCTTCCATAAGAAGTGAAGCTGCTTTGGCAGGAGATAAAACATTCAGTTTGATGAACAGATAGAAATAGAAAAAGCTCCCAACGAGTTCGTGAGAGCTGACCAGACTGTGTCAGTCGATGGAACAAAAGTCAGTGCCTCTCCCTATATTGCTTTCCTGGAACTTCCCACTCTCTCTGTTCCAACAACTCCCAATTCCGATGGCAAAGCTTTGTCTTGATTCTCCCTGCAGGGTCTGGTTGGTTCCAGCAGAATAACTGGAGCTGCTGGTTCATCCTGCCAGATGGGCCACTGTGGTCCCCTGGGCCACCTTCCTGCCTGACACCCAGCACCAGGCTCCTTCCTGCCTGGAATACAGCACAAAACACATCTGAGTTTGATTTAAACATTTCCAAAGAAGGAGACTTTGCCATAATGCCTTGCTGGGTTGCTGTGCTGGTTAATTACCCTCACTGTTAAAAATATGTGTCTTGTTTTATAGCCTGAATTTGTCTGGATTCAGCTCCCAAGCCCTGGATCTCATTATAGCCTTGTCTGCAAGCCTGTATTCGTACTCAGGCACACAGACTGGGAGCAGGAGCCCCCT